GTCCCTTGAAATATTTTAATTTGGGCAAGATTAAAATGCTTCATTTTAGGTTGGAAACTAGTATTTTATTAACACATCATGATGAAAGAAAACCAAAAAGCTAGTTATCAGGAAAGGAAAGATCAGGATTCTTCATGGTAGGGGTTGCCAAAACCTGGAATGGGCTTCCAATGGTGCTGTCCCCTACCTTGGGGGTCTTCAAGAGGAGGTTGGATGGGCATCTGGCTGGGGTCATCTGACCCCAGCGCTCTTTCCTGCCCAGGGCAGGGGGTCGGACTCAATGATCTGTTGAGGTCCCTTCCGACCCTAGCATCTATGAATCTATGAATTGGACCAGACCTTGCCCCCTATTGCTAAAATGCAGTCTAGAATAGTGTCATGATATAAAAGCAGTGTGACTCCTAATGAAGTCGGTTTGCATGATGTGTCTGGCTTTGAAGAATCATTGCATGAGCAGCCTTTGGAATAGTATTCCCTTGCTTCTGGCATGGGGAAGGGCCATCCTCCCTGGGTCAAAGAGTCCACCTCGCTTTTGGCCCTGTGACGTTTTCCTTATTGGCCACCAATGCACCAGCTTCAAGAGAAGGAAACAGTTCACAGCCATATCTGCCCCATAGGTTGGGGGTTAGGGTACTCATAGATTCATAGATGTAGGGTCGGAAGGGACCTAAGTAGATCTTCAAGTCCAACCCCCTCCCCTGGGCAGGAGAGAATACTGGGCTCATATGACCCCAACTAGGTGATTATCTAGCCTCCTCTTAAAGACCCCCAAGGTAGGAGCCAGCACCACTTCCCTTGGAAGTTGGTTCCAGATCCTAGCCGCCCTGACTGTGAAATAGTGTCTTGTAATGTCCAGCCTGAACCTATTCTCAAACAACTTATGGCTGTTATTCCTTGCTACTCTGGGAGGTGCACAGGGGAACAGGGTCTCTCCCATTCTCCTCTGGTCCCCTCTGGTAAGTTTATAGACGGCCACTAGATCCCCTCTCAGCCTTCTCTTGTGAAGGTTGAACAGGTTCAGGTCCCGTAGCCTCTCCTCATAGGGTCTTCCCTGCTGTCCCCGGATCATGCAAGTGGCCCTTCTCTGGACCCTCTCGATGCTAGCCACATCTCTCCTAAAGTGTGGCGCCCAGAACTGGACACAGTACTCCAACTGTGGCCTGACCAGTGTCACATAGGAGGGGAGGATCACTTCCTTGGCCCTGCTCATAATGCATCTGTGGATGCATGGCCAGGTGCAGTTAGCCTTACTGACCGCATTGTCACATTGGCAGCCCACATTCATTTTAGAATCGATAATGACTCCAAGATCCTTTTCTGCCTCTGCACTGATGAGAAGGGAATTCCCCAGCCTGTAGGTATGCTGCTGGTTTTTACTGCCCAAGTGCAGCACCCTGCACTTGTCAGTACTGAATCCCATCCTATTCTCATTCGCCCACCCCTGTAACCTGTCCAGGTCCAGCTGTATTCTGTCCCTCCCTTCTAGCGTGCCCACCTCACCCCAAATCTTGGTGTCGTCAGCGAATTTGAACAGGGTGCTTTTCAGCCCCTTGTCCAAGTCACTAATAAAGAGATTAAACAGTGCAGGCCCAAGGACCGAGTCCTAGGGGACCCCACTGCCTACATCCCTCCAGGCCGAACATGACCTATCCACCACCACGGGGTGTGGCCCCTCAGCCAATTTGCAACCCATCTGACTGTGTAGGCATTAATACCACAGTTGCCTAGCTTTTTAATGAGAATGGGGTGGGAGACAGTGTCAAAGGCCTTCCTGAAGTGCAGAAAGGCTACATCCACCGCGACACCTGCATCCAAGGATTTTGTGACCTTGTCATAGAAGGCAACCAGGTTGGTCTGACAGGACCTAATGAACCCATGCTGGATGCCCCTGAGCATCATCCCCCCTGCTGGTCCTTCCCAGATGTGCTCCTCGATAGTCTTTTCAAAGAGCTTCCCCAGGATCGAAGTAAGACTAACAGGTTTATGGTTGCCCAGGTCCTCCCTTTTTTGAAAATGGGGACCACACTGGCCTTCTTCCAGTTGTCTGGCACCTGGCCAGAGCACCACGAGTGCTCGTAAAGCTGTGCCAGGGGCCCCTTGATAACCCCTACCGATTCCCTCAGCACCCTGGGGTGGAGAGCATCTGGACCTGCTGAGTTGAACACGTCCAGTCCCTCCAGAAGTTCCCTAACTCAGTCCTCCCTGACCCTACTGTACTAGGACGTATGGATTCAAGCATCCCAGAGCCTGAGAGGGGCGTAGAACTCGGGTCACTTATGTTGTGGGCAGGTGCTCTAACCATTAGGATATTTACAGAAGAACCTTATGCTGTCTGTATCTAGCTGCCAAGACAAAAGGCCTTACAATACCTGTCCCTTATGGCAGAGGGAGGGAGGATTCCTAACAGACAGACACATGTTAGCACAAATGTAAACTCCCCATTAGAGTAAATGAAGATCTAAGTGCTTCCTGTGTAACTGAGGTGTCTAAGTGTTGCCCAGTGAAGTGAATAGGAGAGTGGTGTGACCCTGCTGGGTGAAATATCATTTGTCTCCAGTGTATTTGCACCCTTTAAAAGGATAGGAAACTATACATCTACATGGCTGAAATAGGATGCCTCCCTGACTCTCATCATCTACATCATAACAGGAGTTTAACATTTAGGGCTGGGTCTTATCTATTAGATACCTAAGTTGACTTAAGTGCCTAAGTTCAGTCTTGTTCCATCCCACTTGAGTCCCTGAAAAAACTGCTAGCACCAAAGGAAAGAGAATCATCTTCATTCTCAGTGCCCTTTTGTGACTACATTTTAAGGCTAAAACATCCATGCGTTACAACAGTAAATGCGTGAATGGATTTTCAGGGACTAGAGCAGAGTGGAATAGAAGCATATCTAAGTGCCTAAGTCCGCTTAGGTGTCTAATAGGTGGAATAGACTCTGGCCTTAAATGTCTAATAGGTAATGCAGGATTTAGCCCTCAGTGCTCTTCATCAATAGACCTAATTTTATTATCATTGCATGTTTATTTATTAATGGGAGAAAATGTGTGAAGAAATTTTGCACTTTTTTTTTTCAAATTGTGCTTGCCCATAAATACCTTAGAGTGCACTTCACTCTAATTTGCATGCATTTGCAGTTCTTGACCCTGCAGATTGACCTAAGTAGGCAGAACTGCATTTTCCAACTTCAGGGCACCTCTGTGTATATGCAAGTTTGCCTTCATTATTACTTTGAAGGTTCTGTGTCCAAGTGGTTTTTTAACTTCATTTAAAAAATCAAGGTGCAAGTATTTTGTCCAGGCCACAGTTTGAATTACAAGTCAAACCCAGGACTACTGACTCAGACTCTTGTGCCTTATTTACTGGGCTCTCTTATGGATTTGATTATTAGACTCCTATGAACTTTCTCTCCTCTGAAAATTAAAGTGCCTGTTTTCTTATTTTTAGTGGAAAGGGAAAATGTGCAGAAGAGGACCTTCACCAGGTGGATAAATCTACATTTGGGAAAGGTAAGACAGACAACAAATAAGCTATCCATTTGTAAAAATATTTTTTTCACACACTTGCCCCAAATACCACTGTACTAAACACATGTATACGCACCCCTCTACTGAAAATGTAGTTCCATGTACATGTCTTGATTTCATATATCATCTGGTATTGTTTATCTGTAAGTGGAAAGAGTTCTAGGACACAGCATACATGCTCAGGCCTCTATTTTATATGTATCTTTACCCTACATTCCTTTTGCAACAAAGAGAGGTGCTGGATTAATTCTTCATATAGTATTAGGCTGGTCGTAAACAAATGAAGAATTACATTGCTCTAGAACCAGAAACTCGTCCAAGCCAGAGTTACATCTCCATGCTGTGAAAGGAAGATGAAAACTGGCTAGCTACTGAGATGGAAGAACAGCACAATAAGAAATGTGTTTAAATAGCATCAAATTATTCAGAAGTTCAGAATTATTCTGATTTTTAAATGAATTTATTAGGAAAGTTGAAATGTTTATTTGAGGAGAAGGGTGTATTTCTGTGTGGGCAAAAGGAGCTGTACTGTTGCTTTGATTTCTTGATTGGCTAACCTAATTTGTTATCTGTTTATGGTTATTTAATGGCAGCAGAGAGTTGCCACATATGCAAATATGTGACTCGGAGATCTTTCTATGGGTGGCTTTTTTCCCTTTAAATCTAAAGAATTTAGATTCTGGAGGTGAGGAGTTTTGCTCTGTCCATGCTGGGGCTGGATAGCTAGGAGCAGTGGGGATGGGAAGCAGGGGTTGGAAGGGGGCCAGGGAAAAGCAACAGTAGTACAGGAGCTGCTTCCAGTTGCCCAGCCCTGGTGCAGCTCTTTGCTGCCTGGTCCCCATGTGGACGTGAGCAAAGCCTCCTCTCTAGACACTGCTGAAGCCCTCAGCCAGTAATGCACCACAAAAGTCCTCTGGCTCCATTAGCCAGACCTGGTCCATGGCCTCCATGTTGCTGACCCCTGAGTTAAATTATAAACCTCTCCGTTCAACCCAAAGTAGCAGCCCGGCCTGAGCTTGAAAACTGTGAACTGCCAAGCATGAGGTCAACCCTTGCATCACTCACTTCCTAGCTTACCCCCTTTTTGCAGTGTGCTTTGGAACTTACACTAGTGTGCAGGCCTGGAGCACAAGAAATCTACCAGTAGCTATTTCATAATTCCCTGTTCCTGACTTCCAGCCCTTTGCACTTCCTCTTTTTACTGCCCATAACAAGAGACAGGCCTGGAAGGAAAGGATGCATAGACTGACTCCTAGAAGGCCTCCACATTGCAGATAAGAAGCTCATGGACCCTGTTGGTACAGACTAAAAGGTGGTGTGGGTAGGGAAGGGCAGCTCACATGGTTTGGGCTAGTTGAGAGCAAACTCAAGCCTGACTTTAAATATCAGTGTAGACACGCTTGGAATTCCCTCGATTTCCTGTTTGTGGGTAGGAAGGATGGGACCTTACAAATGAGACAGTCACTCCTATATTTAGATATTTATAACACCATGGTCTTTTACATAAGTAGGAATGTCTCATTCTCCCATGTCTCTGCTGCTATACTGTGCTTTGGATCTGATGCTGCAAATCCAACTCACAATGGTTGTACTCACAGTGTACTCATGAGTAGCTTGAAGTTAGTGATACTGCTCACATAAGTAAGAGGTGCACAGTCTAAAAATGTCCCAGAGGAGAACGTATTATTACTGAAGTGGCAACAAAGAGTTTAATACACTTCAAGACTCAGAGCTAAAGTATTCCCTGAGAATTCAAATTGAAGGCCCAGTTCTGTCCTGAACAGTTTGTGCTATGTGACATTGTTTTTATCTAGCCACCACAATACCCAACAGAGGTGACTGCATTTCACTGGTGTTGTAGGTATGTGATCTGTAAAACGATTTTAGAAGAAAGGCACTAAGTACAATGTAATTGCTGAAGCCCACTGTCCTGCAGTGGCTGTTACTGGAGGAAAGAAGGGATCTTCTTAATTTTTTCACTGAAATTCAGAATGAGGTTAGCAGTAATGTTTTGACTGCGAGATCTTTGGGAACAATCCAGTGTATAAAGTGAGAGTGTGTAATTCCTTTGTGAATCAGACCTGAGCATTTGAAACTAACTGCAATTTGAAATCTGTCAGAAATGCTTGCTGAGCATCTGGCTTCTGAAAAAGTTCTTTAATTTACAAAAGGAATTAGATCATGAAAAGGTCTGCAGGGTGCTGTTAATTCTGCCATACCAAGCACATGAAGTCTTAGGAACATTAGGAGCACATAGAGTGTTTTCTCTGGATTACTGCCACGTTGCAAAATGCTCTTTTAACTGAAGGCAATGTCTGCTGCTGCCCCTGTTTGCTGGAATTGTCAAAGTTAAAAGTATTGATCTGGATAATGAGAACAGTGCTAAATTACTTCATAGTCATAGGGAGACTTCTTGATGTTGGGGAATACATGCTGAAGGACTGGTCTGTTGTTGCTTTCTGTCAGCTCCTCCTCTATCTTTAAAGAACAAAAAGAAGAACCTCTTCAAGGGCCTTCTGTGATTTAGTAGGTTGTCATTTTCCAAAATGCCAAATATCGTCATGCGCCTGAAATGAACCTGGTTACTTGCAACCTCCATCAGCTGTAGCGGCAGTGCTCTGAGTGCTCAACAGCTGACAAATTTGAGTGCTTTTAATGTTGGAAGTTATAAAAGAAAATAAATAGAAGATTTTATAATAAAAAGAAATACAATGTTTACTCTTTGATTGAAAGTGTGTTGTGGCTCTTCAACTAATATTTTCTCTCTGGGCAACATGGACTATGGTTCTTGGCTGGATAAAAGACTAATCACAAGACTATCCTATTCCAAATTGCCCAAAGCTGTGCTTAATCATATGGGATTGTGCAAACCAACCAAAGAAGTAAAGGGGTGCTCTTTAGGGACAGATAACCCAAGCAGAGGGTAATTTCTGCAGATGGGACTGACTCCTGAGGGCTGAATTGAGTTGGCTGTGTGCCTCACAGTGAACACATCATCAGACACCTATGTGGATGAAGGAGATGGCTCCCTTTGGAGAGGTTTGCAGAAAAAGGAGAATTGCAATCTATGAAATTGGCATGTAATTTAAAGCATATTAAAAATACTTGGAAATAGAATAGCACCAAGGGAAGCTTTACAAAGTAAACCATGCTATACTGTCACTGGCCTAGATGTGGTCCTACCTCTGCATGACACAAGAGCAACACCAGTGAGCTTATGCTGGTGTAAGTGAGAGAGAATACTGCTCCCTTCACTGCCCACACTATCTTTACTTGTTTAGGGCCAAATTTAGAAGTCTATATTTGTGGCTGTGCTCTCATGTAAATCTGGAATAACCCCTTTGACTTCACTGTATTTGTTTAAATGAGACCAGAATTTCAGTTTTAGCTTTGTCCATACTCAGAAAAAGCTTCTGCTTTTGGCTAATAAAGTTGAAGTTGAGAGAAGTTGCCCTTTCTTACAATTCATTCATAAATTCTCTGTTTTGTAACATTTCACTCATTTCCTTCAAAAACAGTTGTGATTTACCAAGTGCTGCTGTTAAAAAGTAACTAAGCGCTGTACAGTCAATATTTTTCTTTTCCTCACAGCGCAGTCCTCCTCTGAAAGTGAGAGACCTGTTTGTTGATATTCAGGATGGGAAAATCTTGATGGCTTTATTGGAGGTCCTGTCAGGCCAAAAACTGGTATGCATGCAATGGAGAAATACTTCTGTATGGTATGGTATCGTCTCTGTGTTTCTTTGAATGTATGTGTGAACACAGATATATCTGCATATAAAGAGCCAGATGCTCTCTTTCACAGTACTGTGAAGATAATGGGCTCTTCACCAAACCAGCTGTGGTTCGTTCACACTGTAATTTGGCCTTCTATGCCGTGTAGCTGCCATGTGGTTGGGGCCTTAAACTAATGAGGGATCAGAATAAGCTTCTATACCTGACAGTGTTCACTCAGACTTTAATTTGTTAATGTTTATAATGTGTGTTGAGATTTCCAAATGAAGGGTACTGTAGAAGGGGAAATGTGCTATTCTTGGAAGAGCTGTCGTTTTAGGCTACGTACAGACATTACACCTGTAAAGTCCCTTCCAGCCCCTAACACCTATGAAACTATTGTGCTTTAAGTGCACTGAACAGACATTTATGGCTCTTAGAGCACTTTAAAAATGGTGGATTGCACTCTAAGTTAACCCTTGATGCGTGAGGTCTGTGCTGTATCCCATTTAAGATTAATTTAGAGCATAATCACTGCCATCCCAGGTGGCAGGGTGCAAGGCTGCACTCTAGCCTCAGGCAGAGCTTGTTTGCTCTGCCCATGCGCCAGGCTGACCCTGCCTTCTCCGCTATCACTGACTGGGGTCAGTGGCACCCTTTGAGCCCAGCCCCACCACCTCCCTGCATGCAGCTGTGAACTGCCCCAGCCCTGCGGCCCAGTCAGGGAGCCCACAGGGACACAGAATCCAGGCCCCTTTCCCCCCCAGGTCCCCCAGGCTGGCCGGGAGGGCTGCCCAGCCATGGGGGGGCCACAGGGGAAGGAATCTGTGGTCTCTTTCCCCACAGCAGCCCCAGCCTTGTGCCATGCTGCTGCCTGGCCAGGGCTGCTGCAGGGACACAGAGCCCAGATTCTGTTCCCGCGCAGCCCCCCGGCCACGCAGTGGTGCATTGCAGAGCCAGGGCTGGCCTGGAGGGCTGTCTGCCAGGGGCAGGGGGAAGGAGGAGAAAGGGGTTTGGGTAAATATATGTATTTACCCATTATATTTGGTCTCTATTTTTCTTAGCTATACAAAGTGTATTAAAAACTATTCATCAGCAGCCTGCATTTTAAATCAATTTTTTTTTTGGCTTTGTCTTCTAGATGCATGAATACAAATCCTCCACCCATCGTATTTTTCGGTTGAATAATATAGCCAAATCACTTAAGTTTCTGGAGGACAGTAATGTAAGTAGTTTTAACACTTGGTCTCAATTTTTTACTCTTAGTATCTGTCATAAATAAGTGTAGCTTTCTGCACAGCACGTTCATAACAGGAATGCACAACCTGAAAGGAGCTGTGTCTTGGTTTAACTGCAAGTCTGAAATTCCACATTAAAATTCAGGAGAATACCTACAGAGGCTAAAAACCAAGGATTACACATTCATTTTACATTATAAAAGTTCAACAGGATTAAAGGATCAGGAGACCAATATTAAAAGAAAATAACATGAAATGCAAGTAATCTTTAGTGAATTGGTTCTCAGTGGTCTGCTTTCAGTTACTTTTAAAGTAGATGACTTTTTCTTTTTCCTTTTGATTAAAAGTACTTTCAGGATCACATGGTATGCATTTATCTGCTAAATTGCAGCAACAGCTGATCATTAGTCCAAGGCAGGAGAAAATTAAACCTGGAAAAATTGGAGAGGAAACGGATAACTTGCAATCAAAATCTTATATAAGGACTCAGTGTTCCTCTCATGCTAGTTTTATACTTGTGCAGCATTGTTGATTTAAGTGGAACTAACAATGACTTACACAATTTTAAGTGAGACTAAAAATCCAGCTCAATATTTTAAATCTTATTGACCTTTTCTAGGATTTTTTTTCTGGAGTTTTGGTTTTATATTACTTGGATTTTGAAAAGCTTCTCTGCAGCTCATAAGCACCAACATAGCAGAAGAAAGCAGGTAGCAGTGGTACAAGTCCCAGGCACCCACCCTATCTGCCAGACTCCTTTACACAGCATTTTTTTTCAATAGGTAAATTAACATTGTAAGAATAATAAGGATTTATACTTTCTCACATCAAAAGGTGGCAGTGCTCTTCCTCTTTTTATACAAGTGCTCAGCTGAGGCACTTGGCCCACCCTTATGCTCCACCAGTAGTTACAGCTACTGACTTTGGTCTGCAACCTGTTGCTACTTAAAGTCCTGCCCAGGACCCAGTTAACCCTTTAGTGGGCCCTCGGCTAATGAACTCATGGGCCCCTACTAAATACTGTATATTTATATTATTTTTTTCACTCAATAATTATAATATGTAAAATGAGCACATTTGGGTCGCTTCTTCACTTAGGGGGCCATAGGCTTGTACCTAGTTTGCCTATGCATTATTTCGGAGCTGGTCCTACCAGTTACTTCTTCCTTTCTATCACAACTGTTACTTCCCTTTTGCTTTGACACATCCTCCCTTGATCTCAGGTCCTGACTTGTACCAATTCTGTTTTCATTTATGCTGACATGAGATACACTCCTAAATCTGGGGCAGAGTAACTGAGGGCCCAGGCGCATAAAAAAAAAACATATGGGGCGTTACCACATGCCAGCTACTTCAATTAACTGCCTGTTTGCACAGTCTTGCCACCTAGTAACTGAAAGCTAACTCACAAAACCTTAGCCCTCAGTGAAAGAGAGATAGATAAGATGCCATAAGTTATTCTGTATTTACCATGGGGTAAGAGATGGTTGCAGACAGCTGCAGCAGGTGGAGCAGTTGACATGCAAAAAGCCCCTCCCTCTTTTACCATGTGCCCATACCCAAGGTGGGATCAAGCTCTGCATACATATAAATGCATGAGTACCACGAGCAACAGATTTCATTTGAAAAAAGGAAGTAAATGGAAACAGATTTTTTGTTCCATCACTACTAACAGTTGCCCCTGTCTCATCCTACCTACAGGAGGCAAAAAAAAATTGCCAAACTAATATGCGATTATTTAAAATCTTTTAAAGTGATAATGTAACAATGAGTACCATAATGTTAAAGGAAGAAAGCCTTGACAATCACCATGTACGCAAGAACAGAAGCCTACATGATGGGGTTCTTAAAACAAATAGTTTGTTAAACAGTAAATTCAACTCCCTAACTCTCCTGTGTTGACCTGCATTGCACTGACCACGGATTATGACTAGGTTAAGAAACACAGACATTCAAATTGCATTGTCTTTAGTTCTTATAAAGGGAAATCCTGCTAGTTTTAGTGGGGTATGATGCGCATGAGAATTCTGTCTGAATAAGGATCTTGGGATTTGCAGACTGTTTTTGTATCCCTGAATGAAGATGGATCTGGGCTTCGGGTAGGTGTTTAAGCTGGGGGAAAATGCAGCAGTTGTAGTATGCTCCTTTGCTAATGAACCCTGGACATTTTCTCTGTAGGCTTAATCTTTATGGGTGCAGAAAGTGATGGTATCATCTTCCCACAGCTCTGCAAGAAATACTGTAAGACACTTCTGACAACACAACTAGTCTTAGTCTGCTCCTTGTTCTCTGAAACAACTCTGCATAGAGGAAGTGAGGGAAAATCCAGTGAGGGATCCCACAGTAGCATTGTGCCTGCAGGAGCAACAGTGGGGGTCCAGACTGGGATAAGAAGCAGGAACACAGGCAAAACTCCTATACTCTCCAAGTAAATCTCCTAAGACTTGTTGGCTGGGATTTGGTTGCTGGGGGAGTGAACAAATGTTCATCTCATTTCCTAATATTGTTTAGGGGGGGAGGACAAAAGGTTATCATCAGGGATCTGGGTTTTCTGTTTCCCACAGAAAAATGGGAAAAAACACGTATTTCCCTTTTTACCCAAGAAAAATGCAGATTTTTCATTTTAATGGAGAAACACACGGATTTTGCACTTTTGCAAAGAGCTCTCTGCAGGCTGCAAGGGGCTGGGGGGAGCAGGAGGAGGGCAGTCAGGCAGGGGGCGCCATGTGCAAGCAGGTGTGGCAGCACAGAGTTGTACCCCACACTGCTGTCGGGCAGACGGGGTGCCTCACCAAGGTGGCGTGGGGCATGAAGCAGCAAGTAGCTTCCCTGCCCAACCCCTCTGCCCTGCCATGTCGGGTCCTGCCTGCTGGGCTGCAGAGGCCCCGGGGGAGGGCAGCAGGATGGGAAGCCTGCAGTGGGCAGCCCTCACCCGCCCCCACCCCCTGCACACATCTGAGGGACATGTTCCCCTCCAACCCCCTGGGAATGTGCACAGTGGTGGGGAGCCACCCACTCTGCCCAAGCCCTCAGTGGCCAGCTCCCCTACTTCCCTCTATGGGCTCCGCTTGGGGTGTGTCACCTGTGGGGAAGGGGAGATGGGCTCCGCTCTGCTGCAGCAGCCACTGCCTTCTGTGGGTGGCAGCTGAGGCTCAGGCGCTAGTGTGGGGGACAGAGGGCTGCAGACCCAGGTCCCTGGCCCTGTAGCCCTGGCAGCTGGGGGAGCCCTCCTCCACAGCTGGGGGGGGCAGAAGGCTGGGGGTGGGAGGGCAAGGGGCATCAGCAGGGCCAGGGGGCTGTGGGTGAGGAGTGAGGAGCACAAGCAGGGGTGGCGGGGGCCATGGCTTGGGACCGAGGGGCCTGAACTTGCATTCTGGTGAGAAAAGTGGGGAGGGGAAACTCTGATTTTGCATGATAAAAAACCCTAAATCAAATACCAAAATATATAGGTATTAAGAATTTATTTTATTGTAGTGAATGAGGCACTGGTAGGCTTCCAAATTGCTTTAAATTTTTAAATATATCAATAAAACATTGTGTTCAATTGACACACACACCTCTCTCTCTCTCTCTCTCTCTCTCTCTCTCTCTCTCTCTCTCTCTCTCTCTCTCTATCTCTTTGTCTCCTCCTGGGCTTCAGTGGACTTCAGCCCCTGCATCAAGCCTCCCTAACCCCTGCTGCCGTTGTGCGTACATGCGTGCGTGCGTGCAAGGGAACAAATAAGACATTGTGTCATCATCTCCCCTGTTCAATAAAACCACTGTCATTTGTAACCCCG